CAGGTCTCCCCCCCTGCTGCTCCCCTCCTCCAACCTCCTCCACACATGGCTGCCGGGGCCATTCCTGAAACCGCCCCTACCTAGTCCTCGTCTGCAACTGTCAGCACAGGAACCTCCTTCAGGAAGCAGCCTAAGTGACCAGGGATACTGCCCCTCTTCTCCCACCCCCCTCACCCAGCCAGGCCTGACCTGGGCTCAGGGGACTCCAGGCTGATGCCCAGGCCCTGGACCAGCATCGCCGGCCTTCCCGGCCACCCCTCAGCTGGCCCCTCACATCTACCTTCTCCCCCATCCAGCTTCCCCATTGGCTCCCCCAGCGACAATGCTTGGCCTCTTTGGTTCTCATCTCCTAGGGGTGCTCGCTCTGACCTCTGACCTGTCCCTAATGGATAGAAAGGATGCGGGTCATAGACACCGTGGGATCACTCAGCCGCTCCCCACAGTCTCAAAACGATTTCAAATGCTGGAGCTCGGCACTCGTCTTCCTGCAGCCTGGGTCCCAGATCCCTGCCCAGCGCCGTCTTGCCTCCCGCTCTCCCCTGAGACCCAGCCCGCTTCCCCCCCGCCCCCCCCCCCCTCAATTCTGCGGTGTCCTCCCAGGTGGCTGGGTCATTGCTCCGTTCCTTCTTCCCCCTGGAAACCTGTCTGACCCCTGCCTGTCATCCTTGGCGACGCCTTCTGTGCTAAGTCTCAGCCCCCTTCCCAACCATATCTGCTTCCTCCGGTCACTCCCACGGCCTTTACCGGAAGCTGAGCGCCAGCCGGTGGGACTTGATCATCTGTCTGTCTCCCCTGCTGGGATGCTCCGTCCGAAGGTCAGGGATCTCTTGTTTGGTTCGCTCTCTCCTCCCACCCCAGTCCCTCCCTGTGTCATGCACTGAGTCAGGATCCTCATAGGTACCAATCCAGTTTATGATTGTTTTTGAAAAGATCTTGGACAGAGTCGTTTTGATTCTAAGATTAATTTCCACCTCACTGGGCAGCAAAGCTAAGGAGGCTGATTGCAGTGCCAATGTGATAGTAAATACGGGAACCAGACGCGGATTGGAGATGCGGCTGATGTAAGCCACTCACGACCGGATTGGGCTCATGTTTTTAAAAACTCGTGGGAAGTTTCATAAACGCAGCTTCTGATGGGTGGGAGGATTCGTTAAGTCTGCGTGAACTCCTGCGTGTCCGGAGGGAGAGAGGGAGAGAGGACAGGACAGCCGTCGGCCAGGAGCAGGCGCTGGGGAACAGGGCTGGCGCGTTGTAAAAGCACCCGATCGTGTGCGTTTCAGTTGCTCATTTTCATGGATCTGAGACGGAAACTCCCTCCTGCGCCCATCGTTCGGGAAAATTTGCTCCGTGCGCGAAATCCTTGTGTGAACAGTCTTGCCCCGACATCGAGAAATGGCTGAGCTCGTGGCTGGGCCGGTAGCAGGAGACAAACGACACCCCAAACAAGGCAAAGGCCGCCACTGGGAGCTCCGCGCAGACGCCCACGGAGCGTGGGGTGCGCGACGGCTGGCCGCTTGTCTCATGGCCACTCTTGGGCAAGGCGTCTCAGCTGACACCCCGAGCGGCCCTGCCAGCCCAAGCGCTGCAGCCACTTCTGGGGCACAGGTCCCCGCGCCTGGCCGTCCGGCCCCACTTCCCTCCCTGGGAGAAGGGGCTCTGGGTTTCCGCCTGCAGACACTTAGCCCCGCCTCTACCCAGCGCCCTGCCTTCGCCTCGGGGCTGTCGGGGGCTTATGCAACCAAGCAGATAAGACAACAACGTCTTAGCAGAAGTTGGGTTGCTCTGACCTCACCCACCTTCCCCTCTTGTATTTCACAGAGGTAGCCCCCCCCCCCTGCCCCCCGCCGCCGCCGCCGTGGCCAGTGGCAGTCTGTAGGTGAGAACTCGGGGGGGGGGCGGCTTTTCTTTCATCCTTGCCTAACGGCACCCCCTTTCTAAGGTAACTCGCAGTCCTGTCCCCAAGCCACGGGTCAGCCATGGTGGGTCTCGGCCTTCGTCTGGGGGAGAAGTGTTTGTGTGGGAGGGTGCGTATGAGGGAGACTGCGTGGTCTGTGTGTGACTGTGCAGGCATGTGAGCGCATGTGTTCCTCGGTGTCCCCTGAGCACGCCTCCATCATGCCTTACCGTGTCCTGCCACAGTTATTGTCCGTCTGTGTGCCTCACCCACTGAGTCCTCTGGGGTCCCCTCTTTAACGACCAGTCCTATGTCTTTTCCCTTCGCGTCCTCAGGGTCTGATGCCTGCCTGGCATGAAGCAGGACCCTGGTGCGCTTTTGCTCAATGAATTAACAAAGCCACCTCTCGTTTTCCCAGACATGACGCCCCCCTCCCCCTCCCGTGGTACCCGGGACAGCTGCTGTCTGCACCCCGTCCTGCCCCTGCAGTTCTAAGTTCCCGAGGCCCCAGCTGCACTCACCTAGGAGGCTGAGAAGGAGTAGAGCTGGGGGCAGCCACATGGTCCTGCTCCCCGGCTCCGCGGCCCTGCGACCTCCACCCGCAAGCGCACGATGCCAGCTGGACCCGGAGCTCTGCTGGGCCCCGCTTGCACCTTCTGCCTGTCCAGACCGCCTTTGAGTTTCTCTGATGCGTTCACTTCCTTTTATAGAGCATTTCCTGCTTTTCGTTATTCAGCAAAAGGAATGTCGCTTCTTAGTAAGTCTGTCTCAAAGGACACTAGAGTCCCCACTAGATAGGAAAGAGGAAGCCAGGCGCTGTGCAGGGTGAGCAGGGCGCGGGGAGGTATGTCTGCAGGAGGGTCAAGGAGGGGGCATCTGGCCCATCGGGCCCTGGGTTCCAGGGGCACATGCCAACTCCAGAAATGGCTCTTCCCAGCAGCAGGGCCCCACCCCCACCCCCACCACCACGTCAGGAGTGAGGTGAGCATGCGGGCATCCCGGAGATGCCCTTGTTCAGGGGGTACAGCCAGGTGTGTAAGTGCAGACGGGGAAGGAGCAATGGGGAGATGCTGGTCAAAGGGCACCGACTTCCAGTTATAAGCTAAGCTCCGGGGATCTGATGTGCAGCCGGGGGACTGGAGCGACTAACACTGTGTTATAGACTTGGGAGTCGCTAAGAGAACAGAGCGCCAATGTTTTCACCACAAAATAATAAATAAATAAATGGCAATTCTGTGATGTGATGGAGATGTTAGCTCACCCTATAGTGCTCATCATTTTGCATTTACAATCAATAAGTGTTTTAAATAAAAATACTGTACACTTAAAATTACACAGTGCTATGGGTCAGTTATATCTAAGTAAAGCTGGAAAAAATAAAGTAACCTGGGGGACTGTTAAAAATATATGTATAGCCCTAGCCCGTTTGGCTCAGTGGATAGAGCGTCAGCCTGAGGACTGAAGGGTCCCAGGTTTGATTCTGGTCAAGGGCATATGCCTGGGTTTCAGACCCAATCTCCAGTAGGGGGTGTGCATGAGGCAGCCAATCAATGATTCTCTCTCCTCATTGATGTTTCTGTCTCTCTCTCGCTCTCCCTTCCTCTCTAAAATCAATAAAAACATATTTAAACTAGAGGCCTGGTGCACAAAATTTATGCGTGGGGGAGTCGCCTCAACCCAGCCTGCACTCTCTCCAATCCGGGACCCCTCGGGGGATGTCTGACTGCTGGTTTAGGCCCGATCGGCAATCGGACATCCCTCTCACAATCCTGGACCGCTCGCTCCTAATAGCTTGCCTGCCTGCCTGCCTGGTCGCCCCCAACTGCCCCCCTTGCTGGCCTGGTCACCCCCAACTGCCCCCCTTGCTGGCCTGGTCACCCCCAACTGCCCCCCCTGCCGACCTGGTTGCCCCCAACTGCCCCCCTTGCTGGCCTGGTCGCCCCCAACTGCCCCCCTTGCTGGCCTGGTCACCCCCAACTGCCCCCCCTGCCGCCCTGGTCGCCCCCAACTGCCCCCCTTGCTGGCCTGGTCACCCCCAACTGCCCCCCCTGCCGTCCTGGTCGCCCCCAACTGCCCCCCCTGCCGACCTGGTCGCCCCCAACTGCCCCCCTTGCTGGCCTGGTCGCCCCCAACTGCCCCCCTTGCTGGCCTGGTCACCCCCAACTGCCCCCCTTGCTGGCCTGGTCACCCCCAACTGCCCCCCCTGCCGACCTGGTCGCCCCCAACTGCCCCCCTGCTGACCTGGTCGCCCCCAACTGCCCCCCTTGCTGGCCTGGTCACCCCCAACTGCCCCCCACCCCCGGCCTAGTTACCCCACGCAGCCTGCTGTTCAGTTGTTTGGTCATCCTCATTAACCCCCCTGCGGGGCTGAGGGAACTGGGTGCCACCATCTTGTGGCTGTGGATGCCACCATCTTTGAGGGAGTGGCAGTCAATTAGCATATTCCCTCCTTATTGGCTGTGGGTGCTGCCATCTTTGAGGGTGGGGCAGTCAATTAGCATATTCCCTCCTTATTGGCTGTGGATGCTGCCACATTTGAGGGCAGGGCAGCCAATTAGCATATTCCCTCCTTATTGGCTGTGGGTGCCACCATCTTTGCAATGGTGTGAGGGTTAATTAGCATATTCCCTCTTTATTAGATAGGATATCTTCTTATATGATAAAAGGCTAATATGCAAATCAACTGAACGGCAGAACGACTGGTCACTATGATGCACACTGACCACCAGCTCAACACAGGAGCTGCCCCCTGGTGGTGAGTGTGCTCCCACGGGGGGAGCGTCGCTCAGCCAGAAGCTGGGCTCACAGATGGCAAGCACAGTGGTGGTGGCGGGAGCCTCTCCTACCTCTGCGGCAGTGCTAAGGATGTCCAACTGGTGGCTTAGGCCCATGGGGAGCGGGCCTAAGCCATCAGTCGGACATCCCCTGAGGGCTTCCAGATTGCAAGAGAGTGCAGGCTGGGCTGAGGGACACCCCCCCCCCCCGAGGGCACAAATTTCATTCACCAGGCCTCTAATATATATATATATATATATATATATATATATATATATATAGAGAGAGAGAGAGAGAGAGAGAGAGAGAGAGAGAGACGAGTGTCTTAATGAGTATGCATTTATTAGGTATCTTTTGTGTGTATCTGATACATTGAAAGAAAAAACTCTCTAATAGGTTCACAGACTATTCCGACAGAATCTTGGACAATGACACTGGATTGATTGGTCAGAAGGTCCTTCCTCCCACAGTGGGTCTGTACTCTTGGGCGGGGCATCGAAAGAGTAGGTGTCACTGGTTCTCAGAGCAGGGCTGACTCTGCCTCCCCCCAGAGCTCCGCTGAGGCCGGTTCACCCACAGGACGGCACCGAGCATGCTCAGGAGCAGGGGCACCTTCAGGAAGACCAGGAGCAGGAAGTGGACACTGCTGAGCAGGGACCTGTGGGGGACACGGTGGCGGGGATGCACAGTGAGCCACATCGTCACCACCCCCACCCCCATCTAGAGGAGAATCCACCAGGTGTCAAAGTCCTGGGATGTGCGCCCATTACCGAGGGTGTTGTCTGGCATCAGGAGTCTCCTGGCTGGTCATGCTGGGCCCGGTGGTCACTGGCAGGGAGGAGGGAGGGTCCAGGGTGCTTGGAGGACCCAGGGTGCTTGAAGGTCCCAGGGTGCTTGGAGATACCAGGGTGCTTGGAGGTCCTAAGGTGCTTGGAGGACCCAGGGTGCTTGGAGGTGCCAGGGTGCTTGTGATGATCTTCAGGGTGGGGGCTGAGGGAGAAGCACATGTCAGGCCCTGGGTCTTCCACTCTGTCAGCTGTGACGCTCTGACACAAGGTCAAGGTCACTGAGGCCATCACCTCCATGGCCACCGCCAGGTGAGAGCTGGACCCCCTTCCTGGGCCCCGTCCCTCGGACCCCTCACCAGGAACTCCGTGGCCTAGTGGGCAGGTAGGGATGCAGAGTCGTCCTGCTCAACATAGGACCTGACTGTGTGGGAAGAGCACCTGCTCCAGCCACACCCCCACCACAGCCACACCCTTCTCCCCCTTGTCCCGCCAGCAGGGGTGGGGTGACACTTATTCTGTAGCCTTGACTAGAGTGATGGGTGGCCAGGGCCCTCAGGCGGGGAGTGCTTGGAGTGAGACCCCGGAAACAGACGTGCCTCAGGGTCTGCACTGGATGGCGGGACCCGCCATCTAGTCCCTTAGACACACCCTGGTCTGAATGCTCATGTCTCCACAATTCCTTTGTTGAAAGCCCCATGCCCAGTGGGTGGTATTAGGAGGCCAGGAATTTGGAGGTGGTCAGGTCATGAGGGTGGAGCCCTCATCCACGGGATTAGAGCCCAGAAAAGGGAGGCCCTTCCATCCCGGAGGATACAACAAAAGTCTGCACCCAGAGGAGGGCCTCCCCAACATGCTGGCCTTCTGATCTTGGGCTTCCAGCTGTGTCTAAGCTACCAGCCCCCACACTGTCAGCCAGGCCTTGGGCCACTGGGCAGTCCTCTCTGGGGGAAGAAATGAGCAGAAAGAAAGATCTAGAGCAGGGATGGGGGACCTTTTCCTGCCAAGGGTCATTGGAGATTTAGAACATCATTCTCGGGCCACACAAAATCATCAACTTAAACATTAGCCTGTTCTCTTTGGCCAGCGTTTCATTCACTCACCCCTAATGCCTTGGCAGGGCCAGACCCAATGATTTCCTGGGCCTTATACGGCCCTCGGGCCGGACGTTCCCCACCCTGATCTAGAGAAACACCCACCAGGTGGACCCCATAGAACGTGGCCTGTCCCGAAGGCACCAGGACAAGCCCCTCCCCCTCCACCCAGCCAGAGGTTCTGGGGTTTCCAGTTTCTCCCTCTTACATAGGCAGACACAAAGGCCAGTGAGGGAACCTCCCACATGAGAGTGAGAAACCAAGAACTTCAAGGAGGAAGTGAGCAGCCAGAGCCACCGTCAGCAGGAAGGTGATGTTCACTGGGCTCTCAGGCAACAAGCACAGCGACCTGGTGGAGAGAATTGTGAGGAGAGCAGGCAGGGAGCTGGGGACGTGGCACCTGAGCACCACGTGATCACCTTTCCTCTCCTTCCTGAGGGAGGTATTTTCAGGGGCTCCTCTGGGTTCCCCCCTGTGGCTACAAGGCATCAGAGAAAAACGGGGAGGGACAGGGTCAGCCTGAAGGGAAGGGAGGCCCCCAGAACATCACAAGGTCCCCACACAGGGACCTGGGGCTCCTCTGGGACCGTCTCATGGCAGCTGCAGGCCCCCAGGACCCCGGTGTGAGGGTGATGTCTCAGGAGCCATCCAGACCTGAGACTCCATCAGGGCCTGGGCTCCGAAGGGGTCAGGAAAAGACTGCGTGCATGCGTGCATGTGTATGTGCATGTGTGCGTGTGTGCAGGGAACACCTGTGCCCAGATAACACCCACACACGCTGTGTCCTGATCACTGACCCCCACTTCACCCAGCTCTTCTTTTCCATGTCTGTCCTGACCAGCGGTTGACCAGGTACAGGTCAGGCAGCCTGGAGCTGGGGTGAGGGCAGGGTGTGTGTGGCTCACCTGGGGACACAGACACCTCAACCGGGAAGGTGAGGTCTATAAGTCTTTCTGTCCATGGTCTATGGATCCCACACCTGTAAGTGCCTCCATCGCCCTCTGTGAGGCTCTCCAAGGTCACTGTGAAGGTGAGGGTTGCTGGATGGTCCCTGATGGACACACGGCCGCGCCTCACTTCTCTCTCTGACTCTGTGGTCTCCACAATCTTCGTCCTCAGCGATGCCAAACATGGGCTTTTGCACCAGTATTTGTTATTTTCCTTGAACTCCTTCTCGTACCGACACTGCACGCTCAGTGATCCCCCCACGGTGCCTGTCACGTGCCCGGGGCCACTCAGAGACAAACAGCCTGGAAGACACAGCCCGTCCCAGGTTCTTACCAGATGGGCCAGGGGCAGGGGCACCCTGGGGTGCAGGTCCCTCAAGAGCCCTGAGGAGGCCATGCCTTTCCTCGGACCAGGCGAGGGGACCAGGGGCAATAGCTCCCTCCTCTCAGTGGTGACACAGGGAGAGGGTGTCCATGGAGACAAGAAGGGCCACGATGGGAAAAAGGGAGTGTGTGCACATGTATGTGTGTGTGTGCACATGTGTGTGTGTGCACATGTGTGTGTGTATAAGTGTGTGTGATGCACCAAGACCTCATCTCTGATTTTTTTAATCACTTAAGGATATTGTTCGATTGCTTTTTAGAGAGTGTGGAAGGGAGGTATAGAGGTAGAGCAAGAGAGAAACATTGATTGCATGAGTGCAGGTACGTGCCTTTGACCCAGAATCAAACCTGTGTCGGGCCTACGCTCTAACCCAGTGGTTCTCAACCTTCTGGCCCTTTAAATACAGTTCCTCATGTTGTGGCCCAACCATAAAATGATTTTCGTTGCTATTTCATAACTGTAGTGTTGCTACTGTTATGAATCATAATGTAAATATCTGATATGCAGGGTGGTCTTAGGCGACCCCTGTGAAAGGGTCATTCGACCGCCAAAGGGGCTGCGACCCACAGGTTGAGAACCTCGGCTCTAACCACTGAGCCCTCAGCCAGGGCCCACATCCCTGGTTGTGACAATCAGGTGGTGAGCACAGCCCTGCCTCCCCAGCACAGCTCTGTGGGCGCAGTGGTTGAGACTCACCTGCTTTGTGTACTGAATCCTTGTGGTTGCTCCTGAGGCCGGTGCTGGCAGCTCCCAGAAGCTTTTCTGCCTCCTCTTGCTCTCCCCCATGTACTTGCTCCCTCTGTCTGGGCTGCTCCTCACCCTCCACACCCCCCCCCTCCCAGTCTTTCCTCATTCCCACTCGGGGTCCAGCTCCCTGTGCAGCCCAGCCCCGCTCACCTGGGACCTGGAGAAGGAGCAGAGCTGAAGGCAGCCACGTGGACCCACTCCTCAGGGTCATGTCTCCGCACAGACACAGCCTGCAGCAGCGCCAGGTCCTATGGGTGGACACGGTCAAGCCTCCTCAATGAGGGTTCGATTACCCTGTGCCCACTTCCGCTTTTCTGGGCCTCTCTGCTACCGTGTCCAGCCCAGATTTGAGTCCGATGCTGGATGGTCAGGGCGCAGGAAGCTTACGGTCAGGAGCTGCACAGGCGGCTGCAGACCCCCGGCTCTCGGCACCCTGGGCTTCTGCTCTCAACCCCAGTGACAGGACAGGGCCCGTGGCCTCAGAGAGGCTGCTGCCTCTTCTCAGAGCACATGGCTGCTCCTCTGACGGCCACACGTCTCCGCACAGCAGAGCCGCTGGGACGTTTCCTCCTTGGTGGTGTCCCCACCCTCTGCCACATGTCACTTCCTTATGGTCAAATATGATAGTCCTGGACTGGAGGCCACACCTTTCATCCTCTCGGGCCTTGGTGGTGACCACAGAGGTGTTCTGACCCCCAACATGTAGCTGCAGGCACCCACGGGAGCTCTGACCCTGTGGGTCCCCAAGTCTTCTACGACCTCAGATGCCTTCAAAGGTCCCATCTTGGTTGTGGGTCCCACCCAAGGCTGAGTCCTCCTTCCTGTGGGTTCCCTTTCACCAACCCTCTAAGGCAGCGGTTCTCAACCTGTGGGTCGCGACCCCTTTGGCAGTCAAACGACCCTTTCACAGGGGTCGCCTAAGACCATCCTGCAGATCAGATATTTACATGACGATTCATCACAGTAGCAACATGACAGTTATGAAGTAGCAACGAAAATAATTTTATGGTTGGGTCACAACACGAGGAACTGTAGTTAAAGGGCCAGAAGGTTGAGAACCGCTGCTCTGAGGACTCCACGTTTTCCTCTTTCTGCTTCTGAAAGTCAGCTCCACAGTGAGACTCGGCACAGAGGTCTGACAGTGGACAAGGAGAGCTCAGAGCTCAGAGGATGGAGAGTGGGGGACCCTGTGCAGCTGAGACTGAGCCTTTCCTCTCCGTCCAGGGGCACAGAGAGGGTGGTCTTCCCAAGGCACTGTCGCTGGTGAACCTTTGGGGTTCACAGGGGTGACCAGGGGCCTCTTCAAGGGGCAGAGATGGGGATGGTCCTTCCCAGGAGGTGGGGAGGCAGGTCTGTCCTACCTCAGACAGGCTCGGTAGTCTCAGGACATGATGGCTCCCGGGACAATTTGCCCTGGAAATGGTAGGGGGGCAGGTCAAGAGGAGGGGCTTATTTTAAGGTGTCTCCGGGGTTAGGCTGGTTTCTCAACCTTGTCATAAGCAATCCAGGTCTATTCGTTTCCCCCAAACACTCTCTTCCCAGACCTGTTCCTCTTCTACACCAGCTTCCCGCGACCAAAGGCAATAATAACCCCAGAGTGGTTGCAACACAATTCCTGTAACCTGGGCTTCTTCTCTCCTCCCTCCCCATCCATCCTTCCTCCAAGCCTCTCCAAGCTGGCCCTTCCCCTCCTGTTTCTCTGGCCTTCGGTGTCCTCTGTCCTCTCACCACGGCAGTGACATCCCCCGGTTGCCCTTTCTCTCTCTCCTCTGCTCATCAGCAAGAGCCACAGATCAACAGCAGCAGTGGCACTCCTCGCCGCGCGTCGTCCACTGAGACACACTCTCCTTGCTTGGCCGACTCGACCGAGGGGACCTGACAAGGGTCTCTCTCCCCTTGCCCCTTAGTGACCCCATGTTTCCGTCAGAGTGTCCATCCCTCTCCAGGCCTCAGTTTCAGGGGAACAACATAGCGCCCAGACACTTATATACCTGACAGAGTGCTCACCTGGTAAGTCTAGTCCCCACCCGACACCTCACACATAGTTCGCTTTTATTTTTGAAGCTCTCAGCACCTTGGAAAAAAAATTTAAGAATAGGGTCACCAAAATGGTGGCATGTTTTAAATGTGTCAAGTTCAGGAATCAACTTTTGATCACTAATGACCACAAAGAATAATCAATCAGACAATGAGAAGATGACTATTACATTAAAATGTTAACTTTCTGGTGGCTTAGTAGGAATAAAACACACATATAAATACATACCATAAACACGTCTACCAACACAGCCTGTGGTGGTGTACATAATTCAATGTAGAGATCATGTTAAAGACTAATTTTGAGGCTGTTCATGGGATGCTAGGCCAGGGCCAAACTGTAGACTCTCACAGGACACCAAAGGGACCCCGCCACCCCTCCCCACTTCCCACCCATCTCTCTTCGCACCTGCACCTCTGTCTCCTTGCTTCTCATCCCCACAGCTGCCCTTCCTTAGACGCTTCCTGGCACTGGTCATAGTTAGTCCCTTAGACACAAGTTCCCTTGTTCCTGGGGAATAGGAAGTGGTGACAGCTGTCACCACCTGAAGTTCCAAGGTCACTGAACCTGTTCACTGAGGCCCTGGGTCTCTCTGGCTCTCCCAGGGAGTGAGAAATCAGCAGATCCACATGGTGTTGCTTCTCAAGAAATCTGAAGCCTTGGACAGGAATCAGGTGTGTCTTCGTCTCTCACACCTGGTTCCATCCCCACCCCTAAGTTCAGTCTACTCCAGTCTGAGCTGACCACTGGGCTCCAGACCCCTGTTTGTACCTTGAGCCCCTGGCCCCCTGAATGCCTGAGTCCACATCTGGTTGGCCCCCATGGAGACAAGGGGGTCCCTACTCAGATAGCCCAGGCTGATGAGCAGGATGGGGCGGGGAGTGGACCCAGCCTGGGGGAAAGGCAAGCAGGATACAATGGGTCTGGATTTGGGGATCAGCCGGGAGGGACCCAGCAACTGAGAAGCAATCCTGTTGGAGAAGAATTATTTCTAAGTCCACGAAGAGGTCCATAGTGAAGCTCTGCAGATGGCCTCTGGCCCCGCCTGTTGGTGGCCTTAAGAACTGCCACAAGCGTGGTCTTCCTTCTTACCTGTGAGGTTGGTAATAGAAATGATTGTCACAAACTAATATAGAGAGAGGTTGACTCTGGCAGCAGGAGAAGGAGGGGCTTGAAGTCAGGGAGAAGTAGGTGGGGCTTTAAATGTCTCCATGATGTTTGATTTCTTAGGCTGAATGGCGGGTACACAGATGTTTATTTTTAGTCCTTCAACTGTTCATATACACACGTTTGTGTAGGTGATATAGTTATTAAAATGTGTTTTTAAGTCTCTGGCAATAACTTAAACGGGGATGTACGGTTCAGGGTGGAGGCTCTGTCTTCTGTAGCCCGAGTGGCTGTGTCTCTGGACAGGACATGGGTGGGCAGGGACAGTGGCAGGTTGTCTTAGCCAAACTGGGTTTCCCCACAAGTGGCCCGCTGAGGCCTGTTCACCCAGAGGACAGCACTGAGCATGCTCAGGAGCAGGGGCACCTTCAGGAGTATGAGGAGCAGGAAGTGCACACTGCTGAGCAGGGACCTGTGGGGGACACGGTGACGGTGATGCACAGTGAGCCACATCGTCACCTCTCCCGCGCCCCCCCCCCCTCCCCGCCCTAAGTAGAATTCACCAGGTGTCAAAGTCCTGGGATGTGCGCCCCTTACCGAGGGTGTTCGCTGGCATCAGGCATCTCCTGACTGGTCATTCTGGGCCCAGTGGTCACTGGCAGGGAGGAGGGAGGGTCCAGGGTGCTTGGTGATACCAGGTTGCTTGGAGGTCCTAAGGTGCTTGGAGGGCCCAGGGTGCTTGTAACGATCTTCAGGGTGGGGGCTGAGGGAGAATTGCATGTCAGGCCCTGGGTCTTCCACTCTGTCAGCTGTGTGGCTCTGATACAAGGTCAAGGAACTCAGGCCATCCCCTCCATGGCCACTGCCAGGTGAGAGCTGTACCCCATTCCTGAGCCCCTCCCCGGGCCCCTCTCCAGGAACTCCGTGGCCTGGTGGGCATGTAGAGATGCAGAGTCGTCCTGCTCAGCAGAGGATCTGACTGTGTGGGAAGAGCACCTGCTCCAGCCACACCCCCACCACAGCCACACCCTTCTCCCCCTTGTCCTGCCAGCAGGGGGCGGGCTGACACTTATTCTGTGGCCTTGAGTAGAGTGATGGGTGGCCAGGGCCCTTGGGTGTGGCTGCTGGCTCCAGTGAGACCCAGGAAACAGACGTGCCTCATGGTCTCCACTGGATGGCGGGACCCGCAGTCCCTTAGACACGCCATGGTCTGATTGCTCGTGTCTCCAAAATTCCTTTGTTGAAAGCCCCAGGCCCAGTGGGTGGTATTAGGAGGCCAGGCATTGGGAGGTGGTCAGGGCATGAGGGTGGAGCCCTCATTCATGAGATTAGTGCCCGGATGAGGGAGGCCCCTCCATCCCGGAGGATACAACAAAAGTCTGCACCCTGAGGAGGGCCTCCCCCACCTGCTGGCCTTCTGATCTCAGGCTTCCAGCTGTGTCTGAGCTACCAGCCCCCACACTGTCAGCCAGGCCTTGGGCCACTGGGCAGTCCTCTCCGGGGAAAGAAATGAGCAGAAAGAAAGACCTAGAGCAGGGGTGGGGGGCCTTTTTCCTGCCAAGGGCCATTTGGAGATTTATAACATCATTCTCAGGCCACACAAAATCATCAACTTAAACATTAGCCTGTTCTGTTTTTCCAGGCATTTCATTCATTCACCCCTAATGCCTTGGCAGGGCCAGACCCAATGATTTCCTGGGCTTATACTGCCCTCGGGCCAGACGTTCACCACCCCTGATCTAGAGAAACACACACCAGGTGGACTCCATAGAATGTGGCCCGACACAAAGGCAGAGGGACAACCCCTCCCCCTTCCCCAGTCAGAGGTTCTGGGGTTTCCAGTTTCTCCCTCTTAAATAGGCAGACACAAAGGCCAGTGAGGGAACCTCCTATGTGAGAATGAGAAACCGAGAACTGCAAGGAGGAAGTGAGCGGCCAGAGCCACCGTCAGCAGGAGGGTGATCCTCACTCGGCTCTTGATCAACAAGCCCATCAACCGGTAGAGAGAACTGTGGGGAGAGCGGGCAAGAAGCCGGGGCCATAGCACCTGAGCACCACGTTCCCTCTCCTTCCTGAGGGTGGTATTTTCAGGGGCTCCTCTTGGTTCCCCCCTGTGGCTACGAGGCATCAGAGAAAAACGGGGAGGGACAGGTCAGCCTGAAGGGAAGGGAGGCCCCCAAACATCACAGGGGCCCCACACAGTGACCTGGGGCTCCTCTGGGTGCATCTCATCGCAGCTGCAGGCCCCAGGACCACGGCTGTGAGGCTGGTGCCTCAGGAGCCATACAGGGCTGAGACTCCATCAGGGCCTGACCCCGAAGGGGTCTGCAACAGACTGCGTGTGTGTGTGTGTTTTGTGTGTGTGTGTGTGTGTGTGTGTGTGCGCGCGTGCGCCCAGACAACACAACACCCACACATGCTGTGTCCTGATTAATAACCCCCCAATTTAACCAGCTCTTCAATTCCATGTCAGTCCTAACCAATGGATGACCAGGTAGATCAGGCAGCCTGGAGCTGGGGTGAGGGCAGGGTGTGTGTGGCTCACCTGGGGACACAGACACCACAACCGGGAAGGTGAGGTCTATCAGTCCTTCTGTCCATGGTCTATGGATCCCACACCTGTATGTGCCTCCATTGCCCTCTGTGAGGCTCTCCAAGGTCACTGTGAAGGTGAGGTTTGCTGGATGGTCCCTGATGGACACACGGCCGCGCCTCACTTCTCTCTCTGACTCTGTGGTCTCCACAATCTTCCTGTTTAGTGATGGCAAACATGGGCCTTTGCACCAGTATTTGTTATGGTCTCTGTACTCCTTCTCGTACCGACACTGCACGCTCAGCGATCCCCCCACGATGCCTGTCACGCGCCTGGGGCCGCTCAGAGACAAACAGCCTGGAAGACACAGCCCATCCCAGGTTCTTACCAGATGGGCCAGGGGCAGGGGCGCCCTGGGGTGCAGGTCCCTCAAGAGCCCCCAGGGTCTGGAGGCCATGCCTTTCCTCAGACCAGGCGAGGGGACCAGGGGTGATAGCTCCCTCCTCCCAGTGGTGACACAGGAAGAGGGTGTTCATGGATACAAGAAGGGCCACGATAGGAAAAACAGAGTGTGTGCACATGTATGTGTGTGTGTGTGTATGTGTCTGTGTGCACATGGATATGTGTGTGTGTTTAAGTGTGTGTGATGCACCAAGACCACATCTCTGATTTTTTTTAATCACTGAAGGATATTGTTCCATTGCTTTTTAGAGAGAGTAGAAGGGAGGTAGGGAGGCAGAGGAAGAGAGAAAAACATTGATGTGAGAGAGACACATTGATTGATTGCCTCCTGCATGAGCCTAACTACATGCCTTTGATTCAGAATTGAACCTGCGTCGGGCCGACGCTCTAACCACTAGCCCTCAGCCAGGGCCCACTTCCCTGGTTATGACCAGAAGGTGGTGAGCACAGGCCCTGCCTCCCCAGCACAGCTCTGTGGGCGCAGTGGTTGAGACTCGCCTGCTTTGTCACTGAATCCTTGTGGTTGCTGCTGAGGCAGGTGCTGGCTGCTCCTGGAAGCTTCTCTGCCTCCCCTTGCTCTCCCCCATGTCCTCCCTCTGGCTGGGCTGATCCTCACCCTCCACACCCCGCCTCCCAGTCTTTCCTCATTCCCATTCGGGCCCAGCTCCCATGCAGCCCAGCTCCGCTTACCTGGGACCTGGAGAAGGAGCACAGCTGAAGGCAGCCACGTGGCCCGACTCCTCGGGGTCATGTCTCTGCTCAGACACAGCCTGCAGCAGCGCCAGGCCCTACATGTGGACACAATCAAGCCTCCTCGCTGAGGTTCGATAGCCCTGTGCCCACTTCGGCTCTTCTGGGGCTCTTTGCTTCCGTGTCCAGCCCTGTTTTGAGTGCAATGCAAGACGGTCAGGGTGCAGGAAGCTCAGGGTCAGGAGCTGCACAGGTGGCTGCAGAGCCCCGGCTCTTGGCACCCTGGGCTTCTGCTCTCAACCCCAATGACAGGACAGGCCCGTGGCCTCAGAGAGGCTGCTGCCCCTTCTCAGAGCACATGGCTGCTCCTCTGAGGGCCACACACGTCTCCGCACAGCAGAGCTGCTGGGACGTTTCCTCCTTGGTGGTGTCCCCACCCTCTGCCACATGTCACTTCCTTGTGGTCAAATATGATAGTCCTGGACTGGAGGCCACAACTTTCATCCTCTCCAGCCTTGGTGGTGACCACAGAGGTGTTCTGACCCCCAACATGTAGCTGCAGGCACCCACGGGAGCGCTGACCCTGTGTGCCCCCAGCTCTTCTACGACCTCAGATGCCTTCAAAGGTCCCATCTTGGTTGTGGGGTCCCATCCAAGGCTGAGTCCTCCCTCCTGTGGGTTCCCTGCTCACCAACCCTCTGAGGACTCCACATTTTCCTCTTCTGCTTCTGAAGGTCAGCTCCACGGTGAGACTCGGCACAGAGGTCTGACAGTGGACAAGGAGAGCTCAGAGCTCAGAGCATGGAGAGGGGGGGACCCTACGCAGTGAGACTGAGCCTTTCCTCTCCGTCCAGGGGCACAGAGAGGGTGGTCTTCCCAAAGGCACTGTCACTGGTGAACCTTTGGGGTTCACAGGGGTGACCAGGGGCCTCTTCAAGGGGCAGAGATGGGGATGGTTCTTCCCAGGAGGTGGGGAGGCAGGTCTGTCCTACCTCAGACAGGCTCGGTAGTCTCAGGACATGATGGCTCCCGGGACAATTTGCCTGGAAATGGTAGGGGGCAGGTCAAGAGGAGGGGCCTATTTTAAGATGTCTCCTTGGTTACACTGGTTTCTCAACCTTGTCATGCATGATCCAGGTCTGTCCGTTCCCCCCAAACACTCTCTTCCCAGCTGTTCCTCTTCTACACCAGCTTACCACGACCAAAGACAATAATAACCCAGAGTGGTTGCAACCCAATTCCTGTAACCTGGGCTTCTTCTCTCCTCCCTCCCCATCCATCCTTCCTCCAAGCCTCTCCAAGCTGGCCCTTCCCCTCCTGTTTCTCTGGCCTTCGGTGTCCTCTGTCCTCTCACCCCGACAGTGACATCCCCCGGTTGCCCTTTCTCTCCTCTGCGCATCAGCAAGAGCCACAGATCAACAGCAGCAGTGGCACTCCTCGCCGCGCGTCGTCCACTGAGACACACTCTCCTTGTTTGGCCGACTCGACCCGACGGGACCTGACAAGGGTCTCACTCCCCTTGCCCCTTAGTGACCCCATGTTTCAGTCAGAGTGTCCATCCCTCGCCAGGCCCTAGTTTCAGTTGAACAACATAGCGCCCAGACACTTATATATCTGACAGAGTGATCACCCTGATAAGTCTAGTCCCCACCAGACACCTTATACATTGTTAACTTTTATTTTTGAAGCTCACATCGTCTTGAAAAAAAATAGAGATGTCAAAATAGGGTCACCAAAATGGTGGCATATTTTAAATGTGTCTAGTTCAGGAATCAACTTTTGCTACACAAATGCCCACAAAGAATAATCAATCAAACAATAACAAGATGACTATTGCATTAAAATATTAACTCTGGTAGCATAGTAGGAATAAAAAACATGTATGAATACATAGCATAAACACATCTACCAACACAGCCTGTGGTGGTGTAGATAATTCAATGTAGAGATCATGTTAAAGACTAATTTTAAGGCTGTTCATGGGATGCCAGGCCGGGCCAAACTGCAGACTCTCCCAGGACACTGCAAGATGGACCCCACCACCCCTCCCCACTTCCCACCCATCTCTCTTCACCCCTGCACTCTGTCTCCTTGATTCTCATCCCACAGCTGCCCTTCCTTAGCCGCTTCCTGGCACCGGTAATAGTTAGTCCCTTAGACACAAGTTCCCTTGTTCCTCGGGAATAGGAAGTGGTGACAGCTGTCAGCACCTGATGTTCCAAGCTCGCTGAACGTGTTCACTGAGGCCCTGGGTCTCTCTGGCTCTCCCAGGGAGTGAGAAATCAGCAGATCCACATGGTGTTGCTTCTCAAGAAATCTGAAGCCTTGGACAGGAATCAGGTGTGTCTTCGTCTCTCACACCTGGTTCCATCCCCACCCCTAAGTTCAGTCTACTCCAGTCTGAGCTGACCACTGGGCTCCAGACCCCTGTTTGTACCTTGAGCCCCTGGCCCCCTGAATGCCTGAGTCCACATCTGGTTGGCCCCCATGGAGACAAGGGGGTCCCTACTCAGATAGCCCAGGCTGATGAGCAGGATGGGGCGGGGAGTGGACCCAGCCTGGGGGAAAGGCAAGCAGGATACAATGGGTCTGGATTTGGGGATCAGCCGGGAGGGACCCAGCAACTGAGAAGCAATCCTGTTGGAGAAGAATTATTTCTAAGTCCACGAAGAGGTCCATAGTGAAGCTCTGCAGATGGCCTCTGGCCCCGCCTGTTGGTGGCCTTAAGAACTGCCACAAGCGTGGTCTTCCTTCTTAACTGTGAGGTTGGTAATAGAAATGATTGGCACAAACTAATGGAGAGAGTGGTTGACGCTGGCAGGACTTGAGGTCAGGGAGAAGTAGGTGGGGCTTTAAATGTCTCCATGATGTTTGATTTCTTAGGCTGAATGGCGGGTACACAGATGTTTATTTTTAGTCCTTCAACTGTTCATATACACACGTTTGTGTAGGTGATATAGTCATTAAAATGTTTTTTTAAGTCTCTGGTGATAAGCTGAAAAGGGATGTAAGGCTCAGGGTGGCGGCTCTGTCTTCTGTAGCCCGAGTGGCTGTGTCTCTGGACAGGACATGGGTGGGCGGGGACGGTGGCAGGTTGTCTTAGCCAAACTGTGTTTCCTCACAAGCTGCCCGCTGAGGCCTGTTCACCCAGAGGACAGCACTGAGCATGCTCAGGAGCAGGGGCACCTTCAGGAATATGAGGAGCAGGAAGTGGACACTGCTGAGCAGGGACCTGTGGGGGACACGGTGACAGTGATGCACAGTGAGCCACATCGTCACCACGCCTGACCCCCGCCTCCGCCCCCACCATCTAGAGGAGAATCCACCAGGTGTCAAAGTCCTGGGATGTGGGCCTCTTACCGAGGGTGTTGGCTGGCATCAGGCGTCTCCAGGCTGGTCAGGCTGGGCCCAGTGGTCACTGGCAGGGAGGAGGAAGGGCCCAGCGTGCTTGGAGGGTCCAGGGTGCTTATAGGGCCCAGGGTGCTTGTGACGATCTTCAGGGTGGGGGCTGAGGGTGAAGCACATGTCAGGCCCTGGGTCTTCCACTCTCTCAGCTGTGTGGCTCTGAAGCAAGGTCAAGGTCACTGAGGCCATCCCCTCTATGGCCACAGGCAGGCCAGACCTGGGCCCCCTCCCTGGGCCCCTCACCAGGAACTCCGTGGCCCAGTGGGCATGTCCGGATGCTGAGTCGTCCTGCTCAGCAGAGGGTCTGACTGTGTGGGAAGTTCACTTGGCCACATCCCCACCACAGCCACACCCTTCTCCCTTTTGTCCCGCCAGCAAGGGTGGGGTGACACTTATTCTGTAGCCTTGACTAGAGTGGTAGGTGGCCAGGGCCCTTGGGCATGGTTGATGGATCCAGTGAGATGAGTGAGATGAGAAAATAATCGTGCCTCAGAGTCTGCACTGGATGGCGGGACCCTGCAGTCCCTTAGACACGCCGTGGTCTGAAAGGTCGTGTTTCCCAAATTCCTTTGTTGAAAGCCCCATGCCCAGTGGGTGGTGTTAGGAGGCCAGGCATTTGGAGGTGGTCAGGGCATGAGGGTGGAACCCTCATCCATGGGATTAGTGCCCGGATTAGAAAGGCCCCTCACCCCAGAGGATACAACAAAAGTCTGCACCCTGAGGAGGGCCTCCCCCACATGCTGGCCTCCTGATCTCGGGCTTCCAGCTGTGTCTAGCTACCAGCCCCCACACTGTCAGCCAGGCCTTGGTCCACTGGGCAGTCCTCTCTGGGGGAAGAAATGAGCAGAAAGAAAGATCTAGAGCAGGGGTGGGGGACCTTTTCCTGCCAAGGTCATTGGAGATTTATAACATCATTCTCGGGTCACACAAAATCATTCGCTTAAACATTAGCTTGTTCTCTTTGGCCAGTGTTTCATCCACTCACCCCTAATGCCTTGGCAGGGCCAGACCCAAAGATTTCATGGGCCTTATACGGCCCTCGGGCCGGACGTTCCCCACCCTGATCTAGAGAGACACACACCTGGTGGACCCCATAGAAGGTGGCCTGTTCCGAAGGCAGAGGGACAAGCCCCACCCCTCCACCCAGCCAGAGGTTCTGGGGTTTCCAGTTTCTCCCTCTTAAACACCAAGACACAAAGGCCAGTGAGGGCACCTCCCACATGAGAGTGAGAAACTGAGAACTACAAGGAGGAAGTGAGCAGCCAGAGCCACCGTCAGCAGGAAGGTGATGTTCACTGGGCTCTCAGGCAACAAGCACAGCGACCTGTGGAGAGAACTGTGCGGAGAGCAGGCAGGGAGCTGGGGCCATAGCACCTGAGCGCCACGTGATCACCTTTCCTCTCCTTCCTGAGGGTGGTATTTTCAGGGGCTCCTCTGGGTTCCCTCCTGTGGCTACGAGGCATCAGAGAAAAACGGGGAGGGACAGGGTCAGCCTGAAGGGAAGGGAGGCCCCTGGAAAATCACAGGGGACCCAACTGGTACCTGGGGATCCTCTGGGCCCATCTCATGGCACCTGCAGGCCCCCAGGATCATGGGTGTGAAGGTAGTGCCTCAGGAGCCAGCCAGGCCTGAGACTGCGTCAGGGCCTGGATCCTGGAGGGATCTGGAACAGACTGTGTTTGTGTGTGTGTGTGTGTGTGTGTGGTGCACGTGTGCCCAGAAAACAAAACACCCACACACGCTGTGTACTGATCACTGACCCCCCACTTCACCCAGCTCTTCAATTCCATGTCTGTCCTGATCAGCGGGTGACCAGGTAGATGAGGCAGCCTGGAGCTGGGGTGAAGGGAGGGTGTGTGTGACTCACCTGGGGACACAGACACCTCAACCGGGAAGGTGAGGTGTATCAGTCCTTCTGTCCATGGTCTATGGATCCCACACCTGTATGTGCCTCCATCGCCCTCTGTGAGGCTCTCCAAGGTCACTGTGAAGGTGAGGTTTGCTGGATGGTCCCTGATGGACACACGGCCGCGCCTCACTTCTCTCTCTGACTCTGTGGTCCCCACAATCTTCCTGTTCAGTGATGGCAAACATGGGCTTTTGCACCAGTATTTGTTATTTTCCTTGAACTCCTTCTCGTACCGACACTGCACGCTCAGCGATCCCCCCACGGTGCCCATCACGTGCCCAGGGCCGCTCAGAGACAAACAGCCTGGAAGACACACCCGTCCCAGGTTCTTACCAGGTGGGCCAGGGGCAGGGGTACTCTGGGGTGCAGGTCCCCTCAAGAGCCCCCAGGGTCTGGAGGCCATGCCTTTCCTCAGACCAGGCGAGGGGACCAGGGGCGATAGCTCCCTCCTCCCATGGTGACACAGGGCGAGGGTGTCCATGCAGACAAGAAGGGCCACGATGGGAAAAACAGAGTGTGTGCACATGTATGTGTGTGTGTGTATGTGCCTGTGTGCACATGTATGTGAGTGGGTGTATAATTGTGTGTGATGCACCAAGACCTCATCTCTGATTTTTTTAATCACTGAAGGATATTTTTCCATTGCTTTTTAGAGAGAGTGGAAGGGAGGTAGGGAGGCAGAGAAAAAGAGAGAAACATTGATTGCATGAGCCCAGATACGTGCCTTTGATGCAGAATCGAACCTGCGTCGGACCAACGCTCTAACCACTGAACCATTTCCAGGACCCAATCCCTGGTTATGACAATCAGGTGGTGAGCACAGATCCTGCCTCCCCAGCACAGCTCTGTGGGCGCAGTGGTTGAGACTCGCCTGCTTTGTGCACTGAATCCTTGTGGTTGCTGCTGAGGCAGGTGCTGGCTGGTCCTGGAAGCATTTCTGCCTCCCCTTTTTCTCCCCATGTCCTCCCTCCCTCCTGCTGGGCTGCTCCTCACCCTCCACACCCCGCCTCCCAGTCTTTCCTCATTCCCACTCAGGGTCCAGCTCCCTGTGCAGCCCAGCCCCGCTCACCTGGGACCTGGAGAAGGAGCAGAGCTGAAGGCAGCCACGTGGCCCCGCTCCTCGGGGTCATGTCTCCGCACAGACACAGCCTGCAGCAGCGCCAGGTCCTATGGGTGGACACGGACAAGCCACCTCAATGAGGGTTCGATTCCCCTGTGCCCACTTCTGCTTTTCTGGGCCTCTCTGCTACCGTGTCCAGCCTAGTTTTGAGTCCGATGCTGGATGGTCAGGGCGCAGGAAGCTTACGGTCAGGAGCTGCACAGGCTGCTGCAGACCCCCGATCTCGGTGCCCTGGGCTTCAGCTCTCAATCCCAATGACAGGACAGGCCCGTGGCCTCAGAGAGGCTGCTGCCTCTTCTCAGAGCACATGGCTGCTCCTCTGACGGCCACACGTCTCCGCACAGCAGAGCCGCTGGGACGTTTCCTCCTTGGTGGTGTCCCCACCCTCTGCCATATGTCACTTCCTTGTAGTCAAGAATGACAGTCCTGGGCTGAAGGCCACATCTTTCATCCTCTCGGGCCTTGGCGGTGACCGCAGAGGTGTTCTGACCCCCAACATGTAGCTGCAGGCACCCACGGGAGCTCTGACCCTGTGGGCACCCAACTCTTCTATGACTTCAGATGCCTTCAAAGGTCCCATCTTGGTTGTGGGTCCCACCCAAGGCTGAGTCCTCTCTCCTGTGGGTTCCCTGTTAACCAATCTCTGAGGACTTCACTTTTTCCTCTTTCTTCTTCTGAAATTCAGCTCTACTGTGAGACTCACACAGAGGTCTGACAGTGGACAAGGAGAGCTCAGATCTCAGAGGATGGAAAGTGGGGGACCCTGTGCAGCTGAGACTGAGCCTTTCCTCTCTGTCCAATGGCACAGAGAGGGGGGTCTTCCCAAAGGCACTGTCGCTGGTGAACCTTTGGGGTTCACAGGGGTGACGAGGGGCCTCCTCAATGGGAAGAGATGGGGATGGTCCTTCCCAGGAGGTGGGGAGGCAGGACTGTCCTACCTCAGACAGGCTCGGTAGTCTCAGGACATGATGGCTTCCGGGACAATTTGCCCTGGAAATGGTAGGGGCGCAGGTCAAGAGGTGGGGCCTACTTTAAGGTGTCTCCTGGGTTAGGCTGGTTTCTCAACCTTGTCATGCTCAATCCAGGTCTATTCGTTTCCCCCAAACACTCTCTTCCCAGACCTGTTCCTCTTCTACACCAGCTTCCCACGACCAAAGACAATAATAACCCAGAGTGGTTGCAACCCAATTCCTGTAACCTGGGCTTCTTCTCTCCTCACTCCCCATCCATCCTTCCCCCAAGCCTCTCCAAGCTGTCCCTTCCCCTCCTGTTTCTCTGGCCTTCTGTGTCCTCTCTCCTCTCACCACGACAGTGACATCCCCCGGTTGCCCTTTCTCTCTCTCCTCTGCTCATCAGCAAGAGCCACAGATCAACAGCAGCAGTGGCACTCCTCGCCGCGCGTCGTCCACTGAGCACACTGTCCTTGCTTGGCCGACTCGACCCGACGGGACCTGACAAGGGTCTCACTCCCCTTGCCCCTTAGTGACCCCAAGTTTCCGTCAGAGTGTCCATCCCTCTCCAGGCCTCAGTTTTACGTGTACAACATAGCGCCCAGACACGGATATACCTTACAAAGTGGTCACCCCAATAAGTCTAGTCTCCACCTGACACCTGACACATAGTTCACTTTTATTTTTGAAGCTCTTGGCATCTTAAAAGAAAAATGATTTCAGAATAGGGTTATCAAAATGGTGTCATGTTTTTAAGTGTGTCAAGTTCATGAGTCAACTTTTGATACACAAATGACCATAAGAATAATCAATCAGACAATGAGAAGATGACTATAGCATTAAAATGTTAACTTTCCGGTGGTTCATAGGAATAAAACACATGAATAAATACATACCATAAACACGTCTACCAACACAGCCTGTGGTGGTATAAATAATTCAATGTAGAGATCATGTTAAAGGCTAATTTTGAGGCTGTTCATGGGATGCCAGGCCAGGGCCAAACTGTAGACTCTCCCAGGACACTGCAAGATGGACCCAACCACACCTCCCCACTTCCCACCCATCTCTCTTTGCCCCTGAACCTCTGTCTCCTTGTTTTTCATCCCCACAGCTGCCCTTCCTTAGACGCTTCCTGGCACTGGTCATAGTTAGTTCTTTAGACACAAGTTCCCTTGTTCCTGGGAATAGGAAGTGGTGCCAGCTGTCACCACCTGAAGTTCCAAGCTCGCTGAACCTGTTCACTGATCCCTGGGTCTCTCTGCCTCTCCCAGGGAGTGAGAAATCAGCAGATCCACATGGTGTTGCTTTTCAAGAAATCTGAAGCCTTGGACTGGAATCAGGTGTGTCTTTGTCTCTCACACCTGGCTCCACCCCCACCTCTAGGTTCAGTCTACTCCAGTCTGAGCTGCCCACTGGGCTCCAGACCCCTCGTTGTACCTCGATCCCTGGTCCCTGGCCCCCTAAATGCCTGAGTCCACATCTGGTTGGCCCCCATGGAGACAAGGGGGTCCTTACTCAGATAGCCCAGGCTGATGAGCAGGATGGCCGGGAGTGGACCCAGCCTGGGGGAAAGGCCAGCAGGATACAAGGGGTCTGGATTTGGGGATCAGCCGGGAGGGAACCATAAATTGAGAAGCAATCCTGTTGGAGAAGAATTATTTCTGAGCCCATGAAGAGGTCCATAGTGAAGCTCTGCAGATGGCCTCTGGCGCCACCTCTTGGTGGCTTTGAAAACTGCCACAAGTGTGTTCCTTCATACCTGTGAGGTTGGTAATAGAAATGATTGTCACAAACTAATATAGAGAGTGGTTGACTCTGGCAGCAGGAGAACGAGGGGCTTGAAGTCAGGGAGAAGTAGGTGGGGCTTTAAATGTCTCCATGATGTTTGATTTCTTAGGCTGAATGGCGGGTACACAGATGTTTATTTTCAGTCCTTCAACTGTTCATATACACACGTTTGTGTAAGTGCTATACTCATTAAATTATTTTTTTTAGTCTCTGGCGATAGGCTGAAAAGGGATGTAAGGCTCAGGGTGGAGGCTCTGTCTTCTGTAGCCCGAGTGGCTGTGTCTCTGGACAGGACATGGATGGGCGGGGACGGTGGCAGGTTGTCTTAGCCAAACTGTGTTTCCTCACAAGTGGCCCGCTGAGGCCTGTTCACCCAGAGGACAGCACTGAGCATGCTCAGGAACAGGGGCACCTTCAGGAATATGAGGAGCAGGAAGTGGACACTGCTGAGCAGGGACCTGTGGGGGACACGGTGACGGTGATGCACAGTGAGCCACATCGTCACCACCCCCGCCCCTCCAACCCCCGTCCAGAGGAGAATCCACCAGGTGTCAAAGTCCTGGGATGTGCGCCCCTTACCGAGGGTGTTGGCTGGCATCAGGCATCTCCTGACTGGTCATGCTGGACCCAGTGGTCACTGGCAGTGAGGAGGGAGGACCCAGGGTGCTTGGAGGGCCCAGGGTGCTTGTGACGATCTTCAGGGTGGGGGCTGAGGGAGAAGCACATGTCAGGCCCTGGGTTTTCCACTCTGTCAGCTGTGTGACTCTGACACAAGGTCAAGGTCACTCAGGCCATCCCCTCCATGGCCACCGCCAGGTGAGAGCAGGAACCCCTTCCTGGGCCCCGTCCCCGGCCCCTCACCAGGAACTCCATGGCCCAGTGGGCACGTTCGGATGCAGAGTCGTCCTGCTCAGCAGAGGATCTGACTGTGTGGGAAGAGCACCTGGCTCCGGCCACACCCCCACCACAGCCACCCCTTCTCCGCCTTGTCCCGCCATCAGGGGTGGGGTGACACTTATTCTGTAGCCTTAACTAGAGTGATGGGTGGCCAGGGCCCTCAGGCATGGAATGCTTGGAGTGAGACCCAGGAAACAGACCTGCCTCAGAGTCTGCACTAAATGGCGGGACCGCAGTCCCTTAGACACACCATGGTCTGAATGCTGGAGTCTCCACAATTCTTTTGTTGAAAGCCCCATGCCCAGTGGGTGGTATTAGGAGGCCAGGAATTTGGAGGTGGTTAGGTCATGAGGGTGGAGCCCTCATCCTTGGGGTTAGTGCCTGGATGAGGGAGGCCCCTCACCCCGGAGGATACAACAAAAGTTTGCAGCCAGAGGAGGGCCTCGCCCAGGTGCCGGGCTCCTGATCTTGGGCTTCCAGCTGTGTCTGAGCTACCAGCCCCCACACTGTCAGTCAGGCCTTCAGCCCACTGGGCAGTCCTCTCTGGGGGAAGAAATGAGCAGAAAGAAGGACCTAGAGCAGGGATGGGGGGTCTTTTCCTGCCAAAGGCCATTTGGAGATTTAGAACATCATTCTCAGGCTTCACAAAATCATCAACTTAAACATTAGCCTGTTCTGTTTGGCCAGTGTTTCATTCACTCACCCCTAATGCCTTGGCAGGGCCAGACCCAATGATTTCTTGGGCCTTATATGGCCCTCGGGCCAGACGTTCCCCACTCCTGATCTAGAGACACACACACCAGGTGGACCCCATAGAACGTGTCCTGTCCCGAAGGCAGAGGGACAAACCCCTCCCCCTCCCTCAAGCCAGAGGTTTCCATGAATTTCCAGTTTCTCCCTCTTAAACACCAAGACACAAAGGCCAGTGAGGGCACCTCCCACGTGAGAGTGAGAGAACCGAGAACTTCAAGGAGGAAGTGAGCAGCCAGCGCCACCGTCAGCAGGAAGGTGATGTTCACTGGGCTCTCAGGCACAAGCACAGCGACCTGTGGAGAGAACTGTGCGGAGAGCGGGCAGGGAGCTGGGGACGTAGCACCTGAGCGCCACGTGATACCTTTCCTCTCCTTCCTGAGGGAGGTATTTTCAGGGGCTCCTCTGGGTTCCCCCCTGTGGCTACAAGGCATCAGAGAAAACGGGGAGGGACAGAGTCAGCCTGAAGGGACGGGAGGCCCCCGCAACATCACAGGGGCCCCACACACGGAACCGTGGCTCCTCTGGGCCCGTCTCCTGGCAGCTGCAGGGCCCCAGGACCAAGGCTGTGAGGGTGATGCCTCAGGAGCCATCCAGGCCTGAGATTCCGTCAGGGCCTGGGCTCCAAAGGGGTCTGGAACAGACTGTGTGTGTGTGTGTGTGTGTGTGTGTGTGTGTGTGTGTGTGTGTGCAGGGCACACCTGTGCCCAGATAACACAACACCCACACATGCTGTGTCCTGATCACTGACCCCCATTCACCCAGCTCTTCAATAACATGTCTGCCCTGACCAGCGGGTGACCAGGTACAGGTCAGGCAGCCTGGATCTGGGGCGAGGGGAGAGTGTTTGTGACTCACCTGGGACACAACAGACACCTCAACCTGGAAGGTGAGGTCTATCAGTCCTTCTGTCCATGGTCTATGGATCCCACACCTGTATGTGCCTCCATCGCCCTCTGTGAGGCTCTCCAAGGTCACTGTGAAGGTGAGGGTTGCTGGATGGTCCCTGATGGACACACGGCCACTCCTCACTTCTCTCTCTGACTTCGTGGTCTCCACAATCTTCGTCCTCAGCGATGCCAAACATGGGCTTTTGCACCAGTATTTGTTATTTTCCTTGAACTCCTTCTCGTACCGACACTGCACGCTCAGCGATCCCCCCACGGTGCCCGTCACGTGCTCGGGGCCGCTCAGAGACAAACAACCTGGAAGACAAAGCCCATCCCGGGTTATTACCAGATGGGCCAGGGGCAAGGGGCGTCCTGGGGTGCAGGACCCTCAAGAGCCCTCAGTGTCTGGAGGCCATGCCTTTCCTCAGACCAGGCGAGGGGACCAGGGGCGATAGCTCCCTCCTCCCAGTGGTGACACAGGGAGAGGGTGTCCATGGAGACAAGAAGGGCCACGATGGGAATAAAGGAGTGTGTGCACATGTATATGTGTATGTACATGTGTGTGTATGTGATGAACCAAGACCACATCTCTGATGTATTTTTAATCACTTAAGGATATTTTTCCATTTTAGAGAGAGTGTAAGAGAGGTAGGGAGGCAGAGGAAGAGAGAGACACATTCATTGGTTTCCTCCTGCATGAGCCCAGGTACATGCCTTTGACCCAGAATTGAACCTGTGTCAGGTCGATGCTCTAACCACTGAGCCCTCAGCCAGGGCCCACTTCCCTGGTTATGACCATAAGGTGATGAGCACAGACCCTGCCTCCCAGCACAGCTCTGAGGGCGCAGTAGTTGAGACTCGCCTGCTTTGTGCACTGAATCCTTGTGGTTCCTGCCGCCTGCTGCCTGGTCCTGGAAGCATTTCTGCCTTCCCTTCCTCTCCCCCATGTCCTCCCTCCTTCCTGCTGGGCTGCTCCTCACCCTCCACACCCCGCCTCCCAGTCTTTCCTCATTCCCATTCGGGCCCAGCTCCATGCAGCCCAGCCCCGCTCACCTGGGACCTGGAGAAGGAGCAGAGCTGAAGGCAGCCACGTGGCTCCACTCCTCGGGGTCATGTCTCTGCACAGACACAGCCTGCAGCAGCGCCAGGTCCTATGGGTGGACACGGTCAAGCGTCCTCAAAGAGGGTTCGATTGGCCTGTGCCCTCTTCCGCTTTTCTGGGCATCTCTGCTTCTGTGTCCAGCCCAGTTTTGAGTCTGATGCTTGATGGTCAGGGTGCAGGAAGCTTAGGGTCAGGAGCTATAGAGGCTGCTGCAAGACCCCCGGCCTTTAGTGCCCTGGGCTTCTGCTCTCAACCCCAATGACAGGACAGGCCCGTGACCTCAGAGAGGCTGCTGCCCCTTCTCAGAGCACATGGCTGCTCCTCTGACGGCCACACGTCTCCGCACAGCAGAGCTGCTGGGACGTTTCCTCCTTGGTGGTGTCCCCCACCCTCTGCCATATGTCACTTCCTTGTAGTCAAGAATGATAGTCCTGGGCTGAAGGCCAGACCATTTCATCCTCTCAGGACTTGGTGGTGACCTAGAGGTGTTCTGAACCCCAATATGTAGCTGCAGGCACCCACGGGAGCTCTGACCCTGTGGGCCCCCAGCTCTTCTACGACCTCAGAGGCCTTCAAAGGTCCCAACTTGGTTGTGGGTCCCACCCAAGGCTGAGTCCTCTCTCCTGTGGGTTCCCTGCTCACAACCCTCTGAGGACTTCACTTTTTCCTCTTTCTGCTTCTGAAAGTCAGCTCCACGGTGAGGCTCACACAGAGGTCTGACAGTGGACAAGGAGAGCTCAGAGCTCAGAGCATGGAGAGTGGGGGACCCTGTGCAGCTGAGA